CTTTGGACAAATGACTCCAAACTGGTTTTATTTGGTGGAATAGGACAAGACAATATGTCCGTCGACCCCCAAATAGATAGTACCCCCCAAACCATACGCTGAAGACAGTAAAACACGGTGGCCTAAAAATCATGGTATGGGTATACTTTTCATACAACGTTTTAGGTCCCGTAAATATGATCGGTGGGATCAAAGACCATTATGTTTATGTCTAAATATTAAAAACTGTCTTGCAGCCGTATCCTGAGGAAAATATGCCATTAATTTGGACATTTCAGCAGTACAGTGACCCTAATCATACCATCAAGGTAGCCAAGGAGTGGGTTCTTAATGAAAAAGTGGATGCAATGCCATGGCCTGCACAGTCCCCGGATATAAATCCGATCGAAAACTTATGGGGGACATCAAGGGCTACTTATTAAAGAAGTTTCCGACTTCTAAGATGCAGCTTTGGCAATTTGTGCAGGAGGAATGAGGCCATATTCCCCTCAAGCATTGCTAAGACTTGGTGGACTCCTTGCCACCCAGGTATGAGGCTATGATAGCTTCTAAAGGCTATTTAACAAAATATTAGATCATAGTCAATTGGAATTTAAGAAGAAATAGGTTTCTTATACGATATTTTTAAATTTATGAAGAATTTTAGTTTTTCACTGCTATTTCAATGATCGGCATAATATAGACCTTTTTTGTTGTTATTAGCTATATCTTCTAAAAGGTTTATGTTACCTAAATTAAATGATTGTGGTATTGTTAATAATTAAATATACTAAGCTTTTATGAAAAAAAAATTTATGAAAATAGTGTTTGTAACAGGATTTTCCGATCTTAAACGTGCAGGTCGTTGGGCACTGCTATTTCCGTGAACACAGCTGTATATATATTTTTTTATTTATTTTGTTGTATGTATAGCCCCGATCTGTGAAATTACTAGGGTATTTTCACTTCATTCAGCTTCGTTTCTCCTACTTTATTTTTCCCCGTGTCTGCTTGTTGTGTGACTGGCAGTTAGCGTTGATTATCTAAGTATGCTGTTGACGCGTGACAAAATGTTTTTTTATTTAATTTTTTTTTTATTCGTTTTATTCTTCTGCCGCTTATCTGTTTCTTGGCTGTGTATCTGCATCTTGATATCGATTCGCGGAGCGTTACAGCAAGCAACACGTCGCAGCTGATGGGCGTTTAACATATTGCGCAATTTGCTGATCGCTCAAACAATCGCTCCCCTCTCCCGTCGCCCCCGTTGGCTGCCACGCGAGCCTGCTGATAAGCTCTAATATATTTTTAAACAATTTACGTAAGCGAGACGCCGCTTTTGCCGTGTTGTTTGAAAGTAAGAGTTCTCATTAATTAAACAGAGGCAAAAACGCGAGCGGGAACAACAAAAGTTGTTTGCATTCGCAGCAAATTTGCATTGAAAGTGCAAGTGTAAATAAAAACTGCAATCGCATGCAACGACGCCGACGCGACGCTGACGGCGACGCTGAGACGTCGACGGCGAAGCTGGCTCCTCTGCTGGCGTCAACGAAAACGAAATTGAATGAAAAAAACAAAAAATTGTTAAATTGCTTGGCTTTTTTTTTTTTTTTTTTACGTTGGCGCCGGCGCTGGCTACGTTGCGTTCTACATTTTTAAATTTTTTTTAACTTCCCTGAGTTATTAAAGAGAAAAAAAATTAAGCTAAAGTGACACAATTAAATGGGAGGCAGTCGCGCTTAAGAGATTTTATATTTGCAGAATGATTTATGGCTCACAGAGTTTTTATTTTGTGACTGCTAAAAAACCAGTTGGGATTTTATCTTAAAAATGAATATTTTTTGGTTATATTGTTGTTATTTTAAGTTAACACTAGGAATAAATTGGGTTGATTATTCACTTTAATCCTCAAGTAATTTCGTTAATTAATACTTACGCTTATTTATATTTTAAACATAATATTAATGTAGGTCAGCAAAATAGTTAATAGTTAATAGTTGCCTAAAAATTGTACCTTAATCTTATATCTTTCTAAATTAAAATATTTAAATTTTAAATATCCAAGTTGGCAATATGTTCTTACTGATTAAATATTATTAAAAAAAAACTATACACTTGTCAACACATTCTATAAAACCTTAATCCAAGCTGAGACCTGTATCTTTGTCATATTTTATTTTCCCCTCTGTGAATCATACTTTTACTATATGCAATGAGTGACAATTAAAATAGATAACATTTGGGTTTTCCTTTTAGTTATTTTTGGCACAGAAATTTACTGTCTTTGTAAAGTTTGTTCATAAATTATTATCTTATCAAAAAACCATAAGAAATCTATAAATTCAAGGCACTATAAAAAAAATCCTAAAGAAATAAAAAATAAATCGTTTATAAACTATTAATTATAAATAAATTGTTTATACCTTTATATAAAAAGCTATCACGTGTTTTGAGTTTACAAATTGGAATTTCAAAATTGAATGCACAACTCAATTTGACTTGCGAAATATCTGATATATACGGAACATATGTATATATCGAATAATTCAGATCTACATGCAATATAATTTTACTACCAAATCAAAATAAAAAAAAGGAACCATTTACAAAAAGCTAAAAAATAGATAGAAAAGGAATGCGAAAAGATTTGCTCGAATGAAAATGAAAGTTTACTTTTGTTGTAGCTTTTTCCTCGATTCTTTTTTCGAACAAAGACTGGGAGAATGTGGAGAATGGCAGATAGAGGGGGAGGATCGCCAATAAAAAACGCTTACGACAGCGGCCCCCCACACGCACACACGCTGTAAGGCCGCGCGCACACTACGAGCTGAAAGCGGAGCTGACGGCTGACGGCTTATCAGCTCTCTGAAACAAACACACTACTTGTATGAGAGCGCGCACACTGAGAGCGGAGCTGAAAGCTGATAAGGTCAGCTCCGCTCCGCTCTGTTTGATCAACCAAACATGTTTGATTTTGTTAGCAGCTGACGCGAGCTGATTTTTTAGACTATTCTTTAAAAAATTGCCCTAATTAGCGCTTAAGTAACAGAAATTTAAATTTCTGTCCAGTTATATACAAAAGTATGAAGAATTTTTTTAATATTTATTAAAATAAAAATATTGTCAACTTTCCGAGATACAGGGTGCCAAAGTACACTAAAAAAACGTACTTTGTCAACCATATTCTGGAGAACTGGGTGGTCCGATTTCGAAAATTTAAATGTCATGATGATCTAAATAAATATGTCATCGCATTAACAACGATATTTTAAAAATATTAAAGAATTAAAATATGTTTTTTTTTAAACGTATTGCTTGAAAAACATTTACAAATCAACATCAGCTTCAGCTCGCAATGTGCGCGGCTGCAAAAAGCTCCGATCGCTGATAAGCTTTCCGCGGATAAGCTCTCAGCCGTCAGCTCCGCTTTCAGCTCGTAGTGTGCGCGCGGCCTAATTGTTATTATTGCTATAGGCACAAACATACATACATATGTATATGTACACACTATAACCGATCTAATCTCTCTCGCACGCGCGCCCCCACTCCCTCTGTCTCTCTCTCCCTTACTCCGCATCGTTCTTACTCTTTCACTCGCCGTTGGGTGCCTCTTTCTCACGGTCAGCATTCGTTTGCGAAAAAGTTCTTTGACGCTTTGTTTATTTATTTTGTTAAGCGTTAAGCGTCGCCGGCAAAAGCTTAAAGCTCCGGCGTTTTTTTTTTCCCCTCTCTCTGTATGATTCTTAGTTGTTCTCTCTCATCTTGAACAGGGTATTTGTTGGATTTTTGGGTATTATGATTGTATGATCATTACGAAATGTAATGTATTGTTTACATTTTCTTTGGTCTGTATTTAATTCATTTTTTTACCTTTTGACTGTATTCGAATTTTTGTAGAATATTGTGGGACTTAAGTCTAAAACTAAAGCTATAATTTATAGTTTAAGGTTCTCAGACAGGATTGATTTTACTAAACACACTGAAATATTTACAAAACATAAACGAATATTCTGATACAAAATACTTTTGGCAACGCCAACAAACTTAAAATTTTAAGACCTTGATGAAAAACCCCAAGTTAAAATTTATTAATACGACTTTTTACGACCTTTTAGCGGGTGTTTAATAGTCGAAGTATATCCTTCTAATGGCCCATTTCAATTTAATTGAATACAAAGGCAACGACGTTGCAAAAAAAAAAAAGCAAAAGTGCTTCTTATCAACTTCCACCGCCCCACGCATCCCGCTCATAGAACTTTGACCAAAGGCCGTTAAGATTAGGATTCCAGGCAATTGTAATAAAGAAATATCAACATTCATTCTATACTTAACACGACACACACTGTAAGTGGGTTTGAGGGCTCCATAAATCGTGGCATAGATAAGCCCCGGAATACCATACATTATGCTCCCTTCTTTTTTCTGTCGGCCAACTTGCAATTTGCATGGATTGCTCGTCTATTTGGGCGAGTAATTAACAGTTAGCCAGCAGCCAAAACATGGCGGCAACAAATGGCAATTAACACTCCACACAAACACACACGTACACGGCACTAATGCAGATGCAACTGTGGTGTTTTCGGCCACAACAACTACACACATCGTTTGCGCTTTTGTTATCGGCCAACGGAAATGCAATAAATAATTGAGAAGAGCCTCGGGGGCGCTCAGCTTCGGCAATTGTAATGAGCAATTGTGTTCAATGACAAATTATCATTGGTATTTCTTGTACACACGGTTTACACATGCTGGCGGCGATAACGATAACGATAACGGGTTGGAACGAAAATCGAATTGCTTCCGCTTCCGCTTTTGAAATATGCCAAGAACTAAATTTAGATACAACTTAATTTAAGTTTAACAATTAAAATAAAATAAGTAAAATACATAAATATGATAAATTTATTAAACATTATAAACAAAATGGTCTTTAGCTTAGATATATTTTGAGATCTATAAGGATTTAGCTCGACTATTATGCATACATCCCTTCATATACTTATAAATTTCCACCTCTTTTACAGGTACAACACTGACCAAGGAGCGATGGACCAGCAATTCTGCTTGCGCTGGAACAATCATCCCACAAATCTGACCGGCGTCCTCACCTCCCTGCTTCAGCGGGAGGCGCTCTGCGATGTCACGCTCGCCTGCGAAGGCGAGACAGTCAAGGTGCGTACCCACATCACTAAATATTCAAATCTATTAGCAATCACTAAGCTAAAATTCTACTTACAGGCTCACCAAACCATACTGTCAGCCTGCAGTCCGTATTTCGAGACGATTTTCCTACAGAATCAGCACCCACACCCCATCATCTACTTGAAAGATGTCAGATACTCAGAGATGCGTTCTCTGCTCGACTTTATGTACAAGGGCGAGGTCAATGTGGGCCAGAGTTCGTTGCCCATGTTCCTCAAGACGGCCGAGAGTCTGCAGGTGTGTGTTTGGTATTAATAATAAAATAATCAAGAGAGCAACAGAAATCACTAGAGATCTTAAAAACCTTAAAAAACCAGACTAAATTATAAATTCATACTGGTTTTAATACCAAAACAAATTGTATTGCCTACTTTTAGGCACATTTGTAAGGGTTTTAAAAACCAACGTAATTTTTGAAGAACCATTAAGTATAAAGCCATAATATTAGATTACATTAAGTGAAATTGTATCATAAAACAAAATTATTTATTAGTAGTTTATATATTACACATACGTAGTGTTTATATTACGTATACTTAATTTTTGAATTACGTATACGTAATTTAGTTGTACCTTCTTACGATCTCGTGTATAATCATAAAACGGTTATAAAAAAAAGAATTTTGGGAAAACCCGAAACGGAACCTGGTGTTTAATCTAAAACCCTCTACCAAACAATTTATAAAGCTATAAAATATTCATTTAAATACAAAAGCCTTTAGGCAAAAGTTAGAAGTAGTTAAAACTTGACTTGTTTATATAAATAAGGGCGTAAAAAAAGGTATTTAATTATATTATTATTTAAATATTGAATCTAATATTCATTTTTAAATGAATATTTAAATAATAATGAGACATAACATATTAATGCTGAATTCAGCACCTTAACAATAGCTTAGCATACTATTAAGGATTATAAAACCAACCAAAACAAATTATATGTAAATTTTTAACATTAAAATCCAATTTCTCTTCCTTAATCTTCACCAGGTGCGTGGCCTCACAGATAACAACAATCTGAACTATCGTTCCGACTGCGACAAGCTGCGTGACTCGGCGGCCAGCTCGCCCACCGGCCGCGGTCCGAGCAATTACAGCGCCGGACTTGGAGGCGGTGGCGGCGGCAGCGGCAGTGTGGCCGACGCAATGCGCGATTCCCGCGACTCCCTGCGCTCCCGATGCGAACGGGATCTGCGCGACGAGCTGACGCAGCGCAGCAGCAGCAGCCTGAGTGAACGCAGCTCAGCGGCAGCAGCAGCGGCGGCGGCAGCAGCTGCAGCAGTTGCAGCTGCCGGCGGCAATGCCATGAATGCAGCGGCCGTGGCCCTTGGCCTGACCACGCCCACCGGCGGCGAACGATCTCCGAGCGTTGGCAGCGCCAGTGCCAGTGCTGCGGCAGCGGCAGCAGCGGTTGCAGCGGCTGTTGCAGCCGCTGCCAATCGTAGTGCCAGCGCCGATGCCTGCAGTGATCGCGGCAGCGAGCGTGGAACTCTTGATCGTTCCGATAGTCGCGATGATCTTTTGCAGTTGGATTATAGCAACAAGGATAATAATAATAGCAACAGCAGTAGTACCGGCAACAACAGCAGCAGCAACAACAACAACAATAATAATAACAACAGCAGCAGCAACAACAACATCAATCGTGAGCGAAACAACAGCAGAGAACGGGAAAGGGAAAGGGAGCGAGAGCGGGAGCGTGAGAGGGACAGGGACAGGGAGAGGGAGATGTCCACCACGCCCGTGGAGCAGCTGAGTAGTAGTAAGCGCAGACGTAAGAACTCATCATCCAACTGTGATAACTCGCTGTCCTCGAGCCACCAGGACAGGCACTACCCGCAGGACTCTCAGGTGAGCAGAAAATTGATTTTAACTGAATATTTTAAATATTAACAAAAAATAGTATTTAAATACATATATAATAGAACTCACGCTAAAAATAATATATATTTCAAAGAAATTAATTATTATCATTACGTATACGTAATATTCATAGTCCAACAAATTACGTATACGCAGTGTTTTCTTTTTAAATATTTCCTAGATATTTTCAAGTTGCTATTGTTAAAAATGACAAAACTATTCAAGTTCTTAATATATTTATATGAATTTTATTTAACGTCTTTCAATTTAAAAATATTTATTTGAAATTATAAAGTTTTAAAATTATTTTAAATGTTTATTTAAAGTGTAAAGAAAAATTTTAATTAAATTACTAAATTCTTACTCAAAATTATATATATTTTAAAGAAAGCCATTATTTTAAATACGTATACGTAATAATCATAGTATGACAAATTAAGTATACGCAATGTTGTCCTTGAAATATATTTTTAAATATTTTAAAATTAATTTTAAATAAAAGAATGCAATGTTTTAAAAATATAGAATATTAATATAAGTATAAACATTTATCTTAAATACTATTGCAACATTTTATATCTAAAAAACATTTTACAATATCTAAAAATTTTGTAATTAAAAGAATCCTGCCCCTGCGGAATCAAATTTAATTACCCGGAATCTCCAAACCTTTTTTTTTAATTTTTTTATACATATACAAAAAAAAAATAGCTTGCAAAGGCTGTGCCAGCTTAGGGAGCTCCCAGCTAACCTTCCGTATTTGTTTAATTGTTTTATTGGCCAGTACATTGCCCTGTAATTAAATTGTCGCTTTTTCTGGTTTTTTGTTTCCCACAGACAAAACCAAAACCTAAACCATTTAAATGCTTCTCTGTCAGTCAGTCAGTCAGTGAGGAATTCCGCATTTGAAATTTAAAGCACTTTTTGTTGTATATATGTACATACATATGTGTGTACCTTAATTGCCAGACAATTAAAGTTAATTAGAAATTATCACACTTCAAAACGGGGCGTGATATGTTTATTATTTAAAACATAATTACAGCTACAGTTTTTTACATTATTTAGAGGGTTTAATTATGATATTATAAATATTGTATATATATTTTTTTAATATGTTTTGTTGTTTAAGTAGGGTCCTTAAACATTTATTGGTGCATATATTTTTGTGCATATAATTGTAACATTGTAATTAAGTTTGCCGTTTCACGGTTTGATTCTATTTTGAATGGACTTTGTATTCATTTAAATTAATTTATTGGTCCTAAATTGAATTATCACTTTACTGGTGAAGTAAACAAAGCCTAAATTAACTTAGTTTTGATGCAGTAAAGAATAATCTAAATATAAACATAGGAAATGTTTGTAAAATAATATAATGTGAATGTTAAGTATTTAGCTATTGTAGCAGAGATTATTTTATTTATTCAATATTAAGCTAATTCCAATAACCAAATTGTTTTAAAATCAAATCAAAACACAATTCAGAGCTGTGTTAGTTACACGATATCTCTCATAGATATATTAGCCCTAAGACCACCCCATAAGCTTGCCAAACTTTTCGCTTATCGTTTGGGCGGTTGGCATGCAAACAAACAAAGAATATCAACATTTATGTTTTGGCATTTACGATATGGATGAGGAGATGGGCTTGGATGGAGGGCAGGGCAACTGGGCACACGCTACGCTCGCTCACATGACTCTGGCTATCAGCTGGGGCCGGTGATCTGCGATCAAATAGTGCTGTGCTGGCTGCTATTTCGGGCTCTTATCAGAAAGAGGGTGAAGATTTTGTGGGCTAGGCACGTGCCGCTCTCCCTTTCTTTTGGCGCTCTCTGCGGCACGTGCTGATAAAGGCCACCGGCTAGAGGAGTCTTTTTTTGGCCCTTTTTAGGGGTATTATAATTGGGCAAAGATAGAGACTATAAATCTAGGAAAAACCTGAATTGTATGCTTTTTTGTTAACACTTTTTAAACCATTTGAATTCCTTCTGTGTTTACATTTTACTATATTTTTACTTCAATTTTCAGGCCAACTTCAAGTCGAGTCCCGTGCCCAAGACGGGCGGCAGTACATCAGAATCGGAGGACGCTGGCGGGCGCCACGACTCACCGCTCTCGATGACCACCGGCGGCCACCTGGGCAGCCTTGGCGGCGGCAATGTGGGCGCGGCCAGCGCCTTGAGCGGCCTGAGCCAGTCGCTGAGCATCAAGCAGGAGCTGATGGATGCCCAGCAACAGCAGCAGCAGCATCGCGAGCATCATGTGGCCCTGCCGCCAGATTACTTGCCGGTAAGTAAACAGACCACATTGGATTTCATTGATAGATCGCCAGTTTAAGTGAATTTAAATTATGATTTCATTGCCGCATAGTTTGTTTTAGTTTGTTAAGGTTTTTTCTTTTTTTGAAGCGGTTCGATGGTTCCAGCTACTGTACAGAACGTTTTTATAAAGCCTTTTTGTTTGATTTCTTGGTAAACCATCATCTCTGTCTCTCTGCAGAAGTGTAAGCTAACCGCCAATTGCAAAATGCTTGCCACACAAAGCCCGTGAATTGTAATCAACACATTGCTCATTCTGATTGTTAAAATTTTTAAGGGAAATCCATAAGAAAGTCAAGCTAAAATGGGAGCAGAACGAAGGATTGGTGAATTGCGTTTAATTGAGTTTTCCAAAAATGATCTCAGCGGAATATATATCGGCCAAAGAAAAGAAAGAAAAAATCTCAACAATGCTGTTAAAGTAAAAGTTAACGTTAAAGTAAAAATAAAAGTAAAAGTAAAGTAAAAGACCAGCAAATCCTTCCTTCTACTCAGACCCACAATTTTCTCAATCCGCCGGCGTGTAGGTAAAAAAGTCAGAAGCGTTTTTAGGCAGCAGCACCACCAAGTCGATGCACCAGATGCTCTTGCACCAGGCCATGGAGGCCCAGCTGAAGAGCCTCCAGTTGCACTATCAAAACGAAAGCCTGGACTCGGCCGTGCAGAGACTGCTCCAGCAGCAGCAGCAGCAGCAACAACACCATAATCAGCCGCAGGAGCAACCACATGCTTCGGTTGGAAAGTCTCCGCTGTCTGCTTTGGGTTCCAGCTCCCGGAAGAGCGGTCGCTTTCGGGCCAACTGGCTATACCAGTTCGAGTGGCTGCAATACGATGAAAGGGCCAATACCATGTTCTGCCGCCACTGCCGCAAATGGAGTGGCGAGCTGGCCGACATACGCACCTCTTTTGTCGAAGGCAATTCCAACTTTCGGCTGGAGATTGTCAATCATCACAACAAGTGCAAGTCGCATCGCCTCTGCTATGAACGAGAACTGCAGGACCAGCAGCAGCATCAGCATCAGAGCCAGAACCAGTTGCCCAGTGGCAGTGGCAGTTCCAAACGACGTTCACCCGATGTCATCACCATAAATGTGGGCAAGGAGAGCTCATAGAAGGAGAGACAAGTCCTCGGAAGAGGCACCCAACATACACCGCTCAGGATTAGCCATAGGCATTTAGCATAAGATTTTGACAATAAAAAATGTATGACAAAAGGAATAAAGAATATATTTAAGAATGAATTGTGGAAGCAAGAGGTATAAGCAATGTGTAAAGGTGGCTTTGTGGCAGCATTTTGCAATTGGAGAGATGTTTTTAGATGTTTTAGGAATTGGTTTTGCTTTGGACACAACTGAAATGATTACTTAAAAACAGTTTAAAATAAAATAAATACAACTAATTTCAATCAAAAGAGACCGACAGAGATTGAATATCTAAAGTATACACATCTTAGACAAGAATATGCTTAGCTGGGTTATTTGTTAACCGTTTAGGTGGCTTTTTTTTATTGTGAAGCCCCATATATGTAGTACCCAGATTTGTCCTAGACTCACCATTTATCCCTCTCTCCCACTTCTTGCTTGTGCTGCTGCAACCAAAAGAGTGCCGCCTTGAAGCTTCACGCGGAGGACATGTCGACGCTGCTGTCGCAGCACGCCCTGCAGGCGGCGGACGCACGGGAGGATCACAACGATGTCAAGCAGATGCAGCTGGACCAAACAGACAACATTGACGGTGAGTACTACTCAGGTGGAGCACTGCCATTTAGCCATTAGCCACTAGCCATTAGCCATTAGCCATTTAGCCAGAACCGAGCTAGCACCACTACAACTACAACTACTACAAAAAAAAAAGAAAAAAAAAGTAAAACAACACAAAGAATCTTCTTCTCTCTGAGCTTTTGAATACCTTAACGCACTCGAAAAAAAAAAAACGAAACCGAAAGAATATCTTACCCTATATTCTGTCTGTATATTGCGTATGTAATTTGTTATTAGCTTTTGGTTAATATACAATCTGTTTTTTGTTTGTTTAACCAAAACTTTGTTTCCACCACGCGTTCAAAACTATTAGAAACTCAAAGAAATGCGAGAAATAAAACCCCGCCAAAACAAAAAAAATGAAAAACTGTATAGAAACAACTGTAGAAAATTCGTAGCTTAATTTCTGTTCATTTTCCTGACCCGCCCCTGCCCTGCCCCCCAAAACAACCTCCCAGTAATTCAAATCTAACCAAAAAGAGCAAAACTATTCTAATCTAGATGGTTAAGTAGAAGTAAAACCCCTTGGAAAGTCTCACAAAATATATATATAAGTTGGAGAATGGTGTAAAAAACTATATAATCCAAAGTAATGGAACCCGAAGACCCAGCTCCAGCTTATATCCAACTCCCTGAATGTTCCTGCATGCATTTATATAAATACCCTCCACATCCTGAGACACGTAATACCCCCTACTTAATTAGCCCCTTTTTTCGTATGCTTTTGTAAGTACAGTATTTTAATTTGTCCTATGTATTTATTTAGCTAAAAATATCTATATATATATATATTCCGAATGATATAATCCTAAGAGAAGTAGGACCCAAAAGTGCTAGCTAGAGCAACAGATCAACAACACCTCTCCTACCGAAAATATATAAATATTTCTATCTCTCTGTCTTTACATGCATATCTTTATTATTTCGTTGTTTGTCGTATATCGTATGGTATTCTATATTGATAAATATATACTATAAAACTAGCTTTTAGGATGAGTTTTTCCCCATTATTTTTTTTAATATTTTTTTTTTTTTTGGGCCGAGACTGGATTGTGATTTCGGTTGCTTTCCGAGTTTTTGCTGTACGTTTGCATGTTGCATGTTTTTTTTTCCGACGCTCTTTACATAAACATACCCATACACAAACACAAATACATTTGATACTCACACACCCCCACATAGACACACACATACACATACGATTATCGTTTATGTATCGATTTATTTGTAACTTTGATATGTATTATTTAAAAGCTATCGATTGATTATCATCTTTCTCATGCCGCCATATTTTTTAGTCGTAAGTCAGTTTCCAAAAACATATATACCTGGAATAATTCCAATTAGTTTGTAGAACTCAAAATGCCTCCGAATGTCATCTAAAAAAAAAAAACCAACAAACAAAAACCGAACAATTTCAGTTACTTAGCTCTCGATTGGCGTACACATCGGCATTAACACAAAAACCAAATATACACAATAAATTAAATAAACGAAATAATCAAACAATAAAAACAAGTAACAAATTTCAAATTCAATTTTTAATTTCACTTTAAATAGACACGCACACACACACACGCGTAGTTATTTTCCAAGCGCTTTTCTTTTGGACTTGACCCCATATTCAACCATTCTTTTATTGCCTTCTAAGTACATATAATTTTCTTCTATTTATTGCCATGCTTCGTTTCAAAACTGCTAAAAAATACAAAAAGGAAACAAACAAATAATTCAATTCCGAACAAAGAAACAAGAAAACCTTCTAAAATTTTTCCAAATCTCTTTTCGTCTTTAATGTTGCAACTTATTGTCTAAGAAATGGAAACAAAAAACCAAAAAGCAAGCATAAAAAAATATGTATGGAAACTTTTCAGTGTGAATACGACAAAAAAAAATACAAAACTTCAAAAATCGATGTGTTCTTTTTTTCCGTTATTTCCACACAAAACACACTCACACACTCACACACACACACACACACACACACACACAATCGCAACACACAGGTACAGACTGTACTTTTCGTCTCTTTTGGATATTTCTACTAACTAACATTGCTGCATTTATGATTTTAATGTCGAGAAACCGTTGAAACATATTTTGGTCACACTGTTTTTTGTAACGAGATAACCGTAACTGACTGTCTGTGTTTTTACCAATTGGTTCTTGCCAAGCTAACTAAGTGTATTCCAATCTATCTTTCTTTTGCCTACACTCTTTCTATATCTCTCTCTCTGTCGCTCTCTCTTTCTATCTCTCTCTACCACTATCTCTCTGTCTCTCTCTGTTTCTGTACTTAACTGTCAGTGTGTGTGTGTGTATGCTTGTGTGTGTGTTGCACATAACCTCAATTAAGTTAAAAAACGAGAGCAGCTTTAAAAAACAGATTTGAAAAAGAAAAGGGTAAAGTGAAAAGGAGAGAGACACCAAGCTCGCACATTATTGGCTCCAGATTGCGCACAAAGAGTATTTACAAAATTATTGAAAAATATAAACAAATTACAAAAATCCTTAATTGAAATTAAATCGAAATTGAAATTACCTTACAGCTAAAAAATAAAAAATAAAAATACCCCGCACCCAGCGCCCCAAAAAAAATAAACCCCTCACCAACCACCTTCAAAACCAACAAAATATAAGAAAAAGAAAAACGAAAAAGAACTGGAATTTGCTAAACTAAACAAAATAGAAACAAGTGTAAAAAACAACAATACAAATAAAATTATATTTAAGACAAACTATACAGCCTAAACATCTGTTGCAACATTGAAGTACTAAAACGAAAGTAATCCCGCAAAACGAACCACAAAGAAAAGTATCTTGTATGAAAAATGTATTATAATGAATCGAAACCACCGACTATATATTATGATAAGCCCAAAAAACGAACAAATTGTCGATGCCACAAAATGACACGAAACCAAAGTTGTTGTTTACCATTGATTTTGATTTCATTTTGATTTACTTTCTCCCAATCCGTTTCACACTGTTCACAACACACTGTTGATTGATTGATTGATTTGCTTTGATGCAAAGTATATTTAATTTAGCTGAATTGTTTTCTAGAGCTATTAAGTCCCGCCGATCCGAGTCGATGCCGCCTTAGCTTTAAGTCCAGCCTTGGTTTGATTTGTTTTGTTATTTCCACAGACTCTGCCAGCCGTATGATTAAGACTTTTTTGATTTGCCCCCCCTTTGCCCATGATCAATCTGTAAATTTTGATTTCCAGGCTTCGCCTCGATACCCAGTTCCATTATCCATTATCCTTGCCGATCACCACTTGACTTGTGTTTATGCCCTGCGTTTATCTTTCTTATCCTTTCGATCACCGCCACACACACGCCCTAAAAAACACACAGTTTGTTTCGAAAAAAATAAAGCAAAACGATATGGCCACGTCCCTCACATTCAAAGCATTTAATTTCAATATCGTAGCTGATCCATTCGTCTTGCATTTCTCCCTCTAATAAACACAGTCAAAACTCGGGGGCTGCATAAGCTATAAATATATGTATACCCCTAATAAGGGCAATTATGTTAGATTACTAAAGTTAATTAATTAATTTTTAAAAAGCCAAGTTGGGGAAACATTATTGAAAAACGAAATTCCCCGTTTTCAAAAAGCTAAATACACATAGAATACTAGGATTTTCCAGAAACCACCAGGGTTTCCTTTTCTCTCAAAGGGTGTCTAAAAGTATGCAATAAAATTTTAATAATTTTATTTTAATTTCAGGTTCTTATATAGAAAGTAATACGAGGGAAATATTATAAATAAAAAAAATAAAAAACAAATAATCATTTCTTTTGATTTTCTAAGTATTTTTTGTTAAATTATTATTTAACTGCTAAAGTTAAAGTAAAATACAAAGTAAATTATAAATATTTAAAGACTGCATTTTCAAATATTGTAGGGAACTTTTTGTTTTAAAAACAATATTGGTTCAACCTAAAGCACTAGAGCTTTGAAACCACTTCAAAATGTGTCTAAAAGTATGCAACAAAATGCTTGAGGTATCATTTTTGTACGTTTTACAATTTTAAAGACACAATCCTAGACACCATTTTAATTATCTGCAAGGCCCCAGGGATATATATTTTTATACATATGCTCCCCGTCACATAATTTTTTCAATTCATGCCGAAGTTTTTTAGCCTACTCCTACTTTTGTGGCTACTTAGTTGAACTTAGATTCCACCTACACACAGCTCCTCCAAGACACGCCCAAAAACCATTGGCTTTGACCACCGAGCGCATGGAATGCAAGTGAGGCGCGATCGAAACCAATCTCAGTCTCTTTCTGTCTGTCCACCACACGTCCATCTGTCTACCCGACCATCTGTCCACCCCTGAGATCCCACCCCCACAGTGATGACGCCTAATATGAAACGAAGCAAATGTTTGCAGGTCGCGTCAAGTGTTTTAACAGTGAGGATCGGGATCGGGAGCGGGAGGAACAGGATTACGATAGGGAGCAGGAGCACGATGAGCAGGTCCACCGCGATCGGGATATGGATATGGAGGATGTGGAGCAGCAGGACCAGGAAAATATCGAGGAGGAAGAGAAGGCGGCGGCCTACCATGCCACTCCGCCGAAATACCGTAGAGCTGTGGTCTATGCCCCGCCCCATCCCGATGAGGCAGCTGCATCCGGATCGGATATTTATGTAGACGGTGGTGGCTACCAATGCGAGTACAAGTGCAAGGAGCTCAATATGCGGGCCATCCGCTGCAGCCGGCAGCAGCACCTGATGACCCACTACCCGCCCCATCATCAGCACCAACGCTCCCTGATGGACTGTCCCGCCGAGGCGGCCTACTCGCCGTCGAATGTGGCCGGCAGTCAAGCCTATCTGACCAGCAACGGATCGGTGCAGCAGTTGGATCTGTCCAGCTATCATGGACACAGCCATGGCCATCAACATCACCCATCAGCCCTGCCAATAGCACCGCCCCCACCCGGTCACTCTCAAGGATCGCCGCAGCACTACCCGACTGCCTCGGGTTCCGGCGGAAACTCGGGTTCAGCATCCATAACGGGATCAACTACGGGTTCAGTGCCATCCGCACCGCCATCAGTGACCACATCGGCAGTCTCGCCGCAGCCCAGCTCCAGCTCCAGCGGCTCCTCGTCCTCGGCGGCGGCAGTGGCAGCGGCAGCTGCGGCGGCTGCCAATCGGAGGGACCACAACATCGACTACTCCACCCTGTTCGTCCAGCTGTCGGGCACGCTGCCCACCCTGTACCGTTGCGTGAGCTGCAATAAGATCGTGTCCAATCGCTGGCATCACGCCAACATCCATCGGCCGCAGAGCCACGAGTGTCCGGTGTGCGGGCAGAAGTTTACCCGCAGGGACAACATGAAGGCCCACTGCAAAATCAAGCATGCGGACATCAAGGATCGGTTCTTCAGCCACTATGTACATATGTGATCACTTCTCTAGGCGTCAGATCGAGTCGAAGTGGAAGTCGAAGTCGAGGCAAATCAAATCAAAGATTGAAGACAGGTTTTCACCACTATTAAGTAGCCACGAATCAAGCAACGTATACGTAATTTAATGCTAAATGCAAGCTAGAGTGAGGAGCCAAAGTCTTGGCAGTTCGATGTACATCTATATATCTATTTATAAACCTTATATATACACACACACAAACACACACGCAGACACAGAACCTATGCTAATCGTAGTTGACTTCAAGACTCTAAACTATTATTATTGTTAAATCGTCGAAACCTCTATAGATGCTGCTTCTTTTGTAGATCACACATAGAGCGAACCAAATGGATAATTATCGATTATCAATTATCGATCTAATATCGATAGTATCGAGATAATTTTCGAATTAGTAAATACCGAGACCAGTACTCAGTGGAGGGAAACTTTGACAAGTATTATATGTAGAATTCCAATCGATTTCCGCGTCAGTTATTATTTTATTTACTTACTTAACATGTGCTGTAGTGAATGTTGACTAATTTATGTTCGTTCGTGTCATTTTGTGCCATATTAGCTAATCTCTCTTCTAGTCCATAGGCCCTAAGGTCGCAAAATAAAACGAAAGGTTAAATAATAACGATTAATCTAGGCAAAACGAGTGAGGAAAGCAAGCTTGAGACTTGAAACCGAAAAAGGCAAAGCGAAAATATATCGACTATTTTTGAGAATCTCTTTCTCTGCAAGGTCTCCAGTCTTGTCTCAAATATGTTGACCGAAAAGAAAAATTTGAGAAATATTATTCGGGCAGCGTCCAATTTCAAAACCGTTTATGCCGAGCCCCAGAGAACATCATCGGGTAACTGAGGCTGGACGCTCTCCTGAACTATGTATATCTTTGGCAAAACACCCACCGAAGTTGGTTACAGATAATTTACTTATTCAATTCATTAATCTACACAATTCAGTGCTTTGCTAAAGATCAAATTTAAATCGGATTTTAACGAGAAACGATGTACTTAAAACCCTAGTAATAGTGAGAAACCAATCAAGCAAAGAATCCAATTAATTAACACTCAAATACAAATATATACAAGTACACATATGTATGTGAAACGGATAAATCAATCTTTAACATCTTTAACTTTACTTAATAAATCTCTTTCAAATCAAATTCCAGTTCTTTTCATTCAATAAAAAGAAACAAAAGGCAATTTGTTGGTACACTAAACCCTCATCCCTAGGTACTAAAAACCACTAAACACAATTGAATAAAATATACAAAAACACATAACTCTTACGATTGAACGAAACAAAAAGAACAAAAGAATACAAAAGTCCAAATTTTAATACAAAAATTTAAACATCAAGCGCACTCTCTTAACGGTAAGTTCAAATTTCTAAGATCTATTTAAGCACAATACCTCAACCCCTATAATTTAGACTTATGTTACCTAAGTTAACTCTATATACACATACATATTTATATGATTTACGTCTTATTGATAATCAAAATCAACAAATTCGAACAAAAATAAATGAAACAAAAGAAAAGAAAAAACAGGAATTGGCCAAACGATTGAAAATTTGATTTAGTTATTCGAAAACACTTGCCTACTACTCACTCACTCACTTACTCGATATATATCTATCTTGCTCTCTAGCTGTATTTCTCTCTCCCTCTCACAGTCAGTCTGTCTCGCTCTCTTTCTCTCTGTCTATCTCTCTTTAAATATTGTACCCACAGTCTAATTCGCTCTGTTATATTCAGCGAAACTCTAAATTTGTTTTTGTTCTGTCAGGCAGGAGGGGTGTTGAATGAAATGTGTTCGATAAACGATAAACAATAGGTTGATGCACGATGTTCGATATACAACGTGCGATATCCGATTCTTATCATTGTTGCTGCGCTACAGTTATTTCGTTAATGGTTTTTACAAGTCTTCATCCCAGAACTCAGTCATATTTATTTACATGTTTTGTCTCATTTTTTCTTAACCTCATCTGCGTTTAGTTTTTATTTATTTTTTTTTGTTTTTTGTTTTGACCCACTCTTACTCTCTCTGTCTCTGTCTCCCTCCAAACTTATGTACATTCACCGAAAAACAATAAACAATAAACTCCACCTCCCAGCGCAACCCCTCGAAAAACAGTGAAAGAAATTAAACACTAATACGGTTCTTGGGCTCTCTTGACAAAAAGAAATTAACAAAGAAGCTGAAGAAAAATCAAACTGAATCATTTATATATATTAAAAACAACAAATAGAACATTATTTTAGATTTTACATTGCACATACATACATCAACATATATATAATTTGGTTTGGGTTCCTCAAAGAAAATACTGTTCCGGTCGCCCTCCCCTAATTCTCATCCAATTATATTGTAAATAATTTCCTTAAGTGAACCATCGATGAAATTTCAGCAACGGCAAATCATTTGAGTTCAAAATAATAATTTTTTACCTAGTAATATGTTGTTGTTACCCCCCAAACCCAAACCCACCCCACACCAACCTACCATCATTCAAGTGCTGTTGTTCTGCATTTCTCGAGCTCTCGAAATAAAATAATAATAAATAACCCCATGGAAAAAGTAGTAGTTAAAAGGAAAACAAAACAAATTTTATTCAAAAACTGTATTTATTTACCGTGATTTTTTGGGTGTAACAAAATTTGATTGCGAACAATTATATATTATACATATATATATTATATTTAACCCCACAAGACCCACGTCTCGGCGATGTGAAAAAAAGTTTCAGTTTTTAATAATCATTCTTTCCATGGCAAAAGCGATAAAAATAAAAACTAAAAAAAGGAAACAGAAATTACAAATATACTACCACACATACACGCATCAACACATACACACCAATACACCAACACACACACCAGCAGACTTTGAAAACCATCTAATTATACAGTTTAAGAATTATTATAAAAATGATTTTTCTGTTTCTGTGAATCACCAACAACAACATTGTTTTTCTCTTCTTTTTTTCTTTGCGCGTTCGAACGAACAAATTAATAAATAAAAACAAAACGAAAACGAAAAAAAAACTCAAACTGAAACTGAAAAACGAAAAAAATATAAATGCTACTAAATAAAAACAAACAACTCCATAAAACGAAAATCAAATCGAAATAATTGCATTGACGCAGGCTCTAAGGCCTGGCACATGCGGCTAACGTTCGAGCGCCTCTCCGGCGGCTGCAACCTGCACCGTTGCAAGCTGTGCGGCAAGGTCGTCACCCACATACGCAACCACTACCACGTCCACTTCCCCGGCCGCTTCGAGTGCCCGCTGTGCCGGGCGACCTACACGCGCAGCGACAACCTGCGCACGCACTGCAAGTTCAAGCATCCCATGTACAATCCGGACACGCGCAAGTTCGACAACCTTATGTCCACGGCAGCGGCGGCGGCGGCATCTACGCCCACGGCCAGCCAGCTGGCGGTGGCCTCCCAGGCAGCCATGGCGGCAGCAGCTGCAGCGGCCTTCAATGCGGCGCAACAGCAGCAGCAGCAACAGCATCAGCAGCAGCAACACCAGCAATCCCAGCAGCAGCAACAGCAAACCCCACAACAGCAGCAGCAATCGCAGCAGCAGCAGCTGCAACAGCATGCCCACAGTCTGGCCCAGCAGCACATGCTGCATCAGCAACTGCAGCCGCAGCACCATCAGCAGCAGCAGCACAATGCCACGAGCGAATGATATAGCCAGTATCTGGGCTGGAACTATGGAGCCTGGCGCCACGATGACCAGAACCTCAAGCAGCAGCAGCAGCAACAGCAGCAGTCACATCGCAAGGCTCAGCCCTTTAACTTTTATGCACGCGACTACTACTACCAGCAATCCCAGCAGCAGCAGCAGCAACAGCAACATCAGCAGCAGCAACCCTTCATTAGCTCCCTAAGCAATGGCAGCCTGCGGTCCCAGAGACGACAGCCGGCAACGCAGACGATCATCATCGATGAGAGCGACACGGAGCTAGATGAGGAGCAGCAGATGAGGCTGAACTTCGAGCGGTATATGGAGCAGCTGAAGCAACTGGCGCCGTATGATCACCAGGAAACTATGTGCAATAGCAACACCAACAACACAAACAATATAAATAATAATAGCAGCAGCAACAGCAGAAGCGGCGAGCCCACAAATGCCAATCAAATGGAAGCTACTACAACTACTACTACTAATAGTAATGATAATGCTAATAATAATAATAACAATAACAATAGTTACGCTAACAGTGCTAGGAACTACAGCAAAAGGCAGCAGGAGCAGGAGGAGGAGCAGCAAGAGGAGCAGCAGGATCAGCAGGAGCCACATCCACCGTGAATAGAAAAAAATCAGCAAACAGCAAGAGCAACCAATTGATACTCAAAGAATAACATAAAATATAGATGAGAAACCGCAAAGTAGGCAACATTTAGGGCAACTTTGAGGGTAAGCCAAAATTTATTTGTCAATTAATTAGGCGAAAAGTGAAGGAAGAGCAGCTAACCGAGGAGAGGAGAATCCAAAATGCTGATTTAAATGCTGATTGTCACATGGTTTCAACCATAAACTATAGAAAGGATGAAACATAAAGTTTAGTAAGAGAATTTAAACATAAAAAGGTTTTAAATTGTAAAAGGGTTTCCAAGGCAGCTAAGGAGGAAGAGGGTGAGGAAAAGCAAAAGGTTTTAATTAGCAGCACTCGATACAAAAAACAAATATTTACACCTTGAAAAGCTTGAACTAAACTTAAAATTAAATGTATTTCAAGAACTACTCACATATGGAATTACAAATTTTACAAAACTCAAATTGTTGGACCTGTCACCTGACATTTGTGCCAAAACAAAAAATCTCTTGGTCCTTGGCTGCACACTCTCTCTCTCTCTCTCTATCTCTGCACCTGTTTGTTGTTGCATTTAACACTAGTATGTGCACACCCCACCCACACCCATTTGACACACACTAACCCACCCACCCCAGGGGAAACCAAGCAACCACTCTGATACTCTAGAAAGGTTTAGGAGCTAACACCGAACACTGAAGACATTTGAAACAAGAGATTTCTATGCTGCTAACAAAAAATAGAAAACAAACTTTACTGTTTTACATAAATGTTTAATTATTAATTACGATCTAGTGGATCTATGCCAAGTAACAAGAAATGTAAAATATCATAATAATATTAGAGTAACTCAATTTAATCGATATTTATACACACAACTATTCAATGGGATTTTCTACACATATACAAACACATATGTATGTATATGTGGTATCTATAATGTACAAATATCTGTGCGTTTGATCGATGTTAGTTGACCTTGAAGAAGACATGCATTAGCAAAAGCAGTTTTAACTCTAAACTCTAAACTAAAATAAATTACGACTAATACTAAACTAATGTTAATTTATTTATAACCATCCCGAGAGTGTGTGCGAATGAGTCTCGAACTGAGGTGAGCGATCTGTTCCGATATGTTCCGATCTGTTTCGATCTGATGTATTATAGTTAACGATACTGCGTCGTCCGTGCATGTGGCCGAGTTTGTTATCCAGTCTATATATATATATATATTGATTATAATAAATAATATTAACTAGTTTCGCAGACTCTTCTTGCGCTGTAAATATGACGATGATTCTCCCTTCCTCATCCGGTTTCTGCCAGTTAGTGTATATTTAAAGTCCGTTTTCTTTGTAATTCGTTGTTGTACATTGATTGCCAAAATCCCTTAAAAAAAATAATAAATAAAAAATAAAAAATATTGGTGCGCACACACACACACACTCACACACAACAAACACAAACACAATTGTCTAATTGCCTAAAAGAATTAATGCATAATTCGATTAAAATATATTATATAAAGTTATCTATATATTAAATACACATACACACATATATTCATAATATTTATTTGTTCTACTTCTTAACATGAAATGTTTAGTGATTAAATTTACAATTATTAATAATTATAATGCTACATCAAATACTGCCCCCGACTTAATGTTTGTTTAATGTTTATTTTTAACGCTGTTTTGTTAAACAACAAATTTAAGAAATTTATCTATATATGATGTGATAACTATAGTAAAACTAAACACACGCATACACACTCAAAATCACACACTCATACACAACACACACACACACGCATTACA